TTGAGCCACAGGCACCGAGCCCCATATTCATTTTCTTAAACAGATACACTGTATCTACATTGACAGGGCTTATGGCCATTGCATATGCAATTTTCTACCCAATAACCTTCATTTGGATGTAAACTATATGAATAAATATGTATTTAATGCTCTTTGCCAATCCTATGTCAGTATCTCTGGATTTTTTTTTTTTTTTTTTTGGTTGCTTACAGCTCATTTTCTAATAACTTTGTCAGGAAGGGCTAAAAAGTCCCCACATTCTTGTGACTGGTAAGCTCATTTGGAGTCTTTATATTTGGAAGTCAGTTTGGCTGGATATAAAAATCCCTGGCTGGTATTTTCTTTCAATCCTAGAGTATCTTAGGTATGTTCTCCTCCCTGCTGCCTCCCCCTGCCCCAGGGCGTAAAGCAATTTCAACAATTTGTTGAAAACTCTAATGATATTCTGATTTCTTCTTCATCTTTTTTACCTCAGTACCCAAAGGACTTTTTTGTCTTCAAGATCCAATAATTTTACTATAATATGTCTCAGTATTAGTCATTCTATTTTCTCAGAAATAGTATCTGCTCTTTTTTTTAAATAGGGATAAGAGAAATTCTTACTATGCATATTACTTTTTAAAAATTAAATCATAGCTGTGTACAATATCTGCTCTTTTAATATATAGTTTCAAATATTCATTATAGGATATATATTTTTTTTTTAGACCACATAGAATATCATAAATGCAAATTGTTTTCATATACCCAGGGATTGATGCCTGGATATTTATGGAAACTATGTTTCTTCCTTTTGAAGGGTACAAACAATTAGGTTACAATGTTTGCATTTGTTACATAAGGTCCCTGTGTTTCCTCCTTCTTATGCTGTCCATCTCTAAATAGCAAGGGTTTGCTGGGAATGTGTCAGGCCAAGGGGATATTTATTTCTAAAAACACCATAACAACATATGTCTATACTGGCTGTGCATTTTCAGTCTTTTTTGCTAATCTGGTAAGTAAAAAAGCAATATTTCCTTGTTATTTTACTTAATATTTCTTGGAATAGTGAATTTAACGATTTTTTTACCTGACTACCGCTGGCCATTTGGATTTCCTCTTCAGAGAATGTTGTCCCCCCTGTTCTTTGTATATTTTTCAATTTCTTTTTGAAAATTCCTAAGAGTTCTATTGACTTTGCTTATGGTTTCTTTGGTCATACAGAAATTTATGTTTTGTCACAAAATCATTTGTCTATGTTCACTTATTGATTCTGCATTATCAGTCTTAGTTAAGGAGGTCTTCTTGAGATTGTACATGAAGTTTCTCATTTTCTTGAGGGGTTTTCACTGTGATCATTTTAAATTTTCAGTTGCTTAATCTTTTATAATAAATTTGGTATATATTCATATTTTATTGTCTTCCAGCTATATCCAGTACTATTTATTAAATAACCCATTTTTTCTCCTCAGAGTTATATTAAATTATTATCTTTTATTCTGGGACATCTTTCTTTCTTCCTTTTTTTTTTTTTTTTTTTTTTTGAGACAAAGCCTTAAGCTGTTGCCCTTGGTAGAGTGCCGTGGCATCACAGCTCACAGCAATCTCCAACTCTGGTCTTAAGTGATTCTCTTGCCTCAGCCTCCCAAGTTAGCTGGGACTACAGGTGTCTACCACAACACCCAGCTTTGTAGTTTGGTTGTAGTTTTGGTAGGCCCAGGCTGGATTCAAACCCGCCAGCTCTGGTATATGTGGCTGATACCTTAGCCACTTAAGCTACAGGCGCCAAGCCTGGGACATATTTCTTAATTATCCTTTGCTATTGATATGTTTTAAACACTGCATTGTTTTTATTATATGTAGCTTTATAATTTGTCTTAATATTTAGTGATGCAAGTTTGCCATTAGAATTAAAATTATTTTTGCTCTGGCTCTTCTTGTGAATTTAGTCTTCTGCATAGATTTTATGACAATATTAACCAAATAAAAGGAAAAAAAAAGGAAAAAATCCTCCTTACTCCCAAAAAACCTTGTTTGGGTCATAATTGGAATGACATTAAGTTTATATATTAATTTTAAGAGAACTGACATTTTTGTGATAGTAAGTCTTGCCATTCAAAGACATGCTATCTCTTACATTTGTTAATAATAACCTATAATCTGACCTAGGAAATCCATCCCTGGGAATCTATTGCTTAGAAATGAAACCACTAGAAATATCACTCTTCACAGTGACACAAAAAGAAAAAGAAAGCGGTTGCCCATCAATAGGAGAATGGCTAAATAATGTAATAAACTACAAAATAATAGGTAGTATTGACAAAAGTGAATTTGATTTTTTTTTTTTTTTTGAGACAGAGTCTCAAGTTGTTGCCCTCGGTAGAGTGCTATGAAGTCACAGCTCACAGCAACCTCAAATTCTTGGGCTTAGGCGATTCTCTTGCCCCAGCCTCCTGAATAGCTGGGACCACAGGCACCCGCCACAACACCCGGCTATTTTTGGTTGCAGTTGTCATTATTGTCTAGCAGGGACAGGCTCGGCTTGAACCTGCTAGCCTCCATGTATGTGGTCATGTGTATACTCACTGAGCTACAGGCTATAGGTGCCGAGCCTGAATTTGGTTTTTTACCAGTTGATTAGGATAGAACTCCTTAAGGTAACACTGAATGACAGTAAACAATTTAGAAAGTACCTACTATGTGATCCCAATTTGTGAAATAATAATCCTCCTACCCCTTTCCCCATATCTCACTGTCTAATCTCATGGAAGAATACGACTTTGGCTCTTACCAGAAATGCCAGGGTGGGGGTAGGGAAGTCCAGTGTAAAAGGAGGGAACTGAGTGGAAAAGAGCCAACAGTGTAACAGGAAAAAACAAAGTCTGTACCTCAAATCAAAACAACCAATAAAGTATGAATGGAATCGCATATATGGATTTTTAAAAGTAGCACTATACATGCGCATGTGTAAAAAACACAAGTCAGCTTTTATTTTTAAGGCTGCACAATACTGACTATTAGATCATACTTCAATTCATTTATAGATAAACCAAAATAGAAACGGAAAAATGACCTCTGCATCTGAACTCATCCAAGGCCTAGAATAGTGACACATCTTACCTCTACACACAGTTGTTCCTACTGATATTTTTCTCTCCCAAATCCCCTAAAGAAACAACAACAAAAATATTTCATGCCTTGTTTGTGAGATATTTCCCAATGATTTCTCTTAAGGAAGATGCTAAACTAGTATTCTTATCTTCCATCATTACTGAGTTTTCAGAACTTTTAGAGCAGAAAATCTTTCCACAGGCGAGCTAGGCTGGAAGCCAAGTTATCTTTCAGGTGAACTGGAAATTAACCTCCACAGGAGAAAATATAAGGCAGAAAAAAACATTAAGCAATCACGGAGAGATAATGGGCTCTTCTTGATCAGGAGACTACATAGTTTTCTGACTGAGAGATAAAAGAAAGATTCAACCAAATACCTACAATGTTCAAGACCAGAGAAAGATTATATTGGACCAAAATTCAAAAACTGTAAAAAAAAAAAAAAAATCCATTAAATTAAGATATGCTTAAGAAATTATTTAAAAAAATATTCAACTCATGGCAGGCAAATTTGGTAGTGGTATATGGAAAGAAAATAACAAAGGACGAATGATTTATATTGCCAAGGGGTTTCTAACTGACATACAGATACAAGTGCTCATAGCACAGTGTCTGGCACACACAATAGTGCTAATCATTAATTCCTTTTCCTTTCCAAAGGGATTTTTGCAAGGTTTCTTTATGTATCAATTGTTTCGGTGTTTTTCCCTTATATACACTTTAGAACTTTTCAAAAGTCTAACTATGGAAAGACATGAAGTATTTGGAGCCACATGCTCTAGGGTTGAGCTACATACATATTATAGCAGTTTGTTCTCGAGTTATTAAAACAAACAAACAAAAAATTCCTGTTAAAACTATGACTTACCTTCCTTCCATATTCAGGATACACACAAGTTCATCCTCAAAAAAAATCTCTGGTCCCTCAAGGTTCTCAATGTCACTGAAGCCATTACAAGGAACCTATGAAGACACACAATTAGGCCTCAATTATGAGCATTAACACAGTTGTCACTTGCATACACAAGTTTGAGCTGCAAAGATGGACAGTCATAATAGCCATCCTGCACTATCCTAATGCTACCCTTTATGGGCGGAAAGAAACACGGAAGGAAAAAATAATTTGTTCAGATCTTGTTGTTACTTGTAAATTATTAATAATTGCTTTCTGAAACTGATAATCAAAGTTCTAATGGGAAGAAAAATAGCTCTGAAACACGGACTAGAACTACACAATTTCATAATTCACAGTAACTATCTCACACAGTCTTCATGATAGTCGACTAAGGGAGAGGGCCAGAGAGGTAAGCCAAGTGTGTTAGACAACTTCTTTAATTCAGTGGGGGTGTTTTTTCCTCTGTATATTGAGGTGGTGATATAAAATGGCTTTATGATGCTCTCAGTTTAAAATTTTATGACTTCCCCCACTTTTCTTTGTGAAAGTAGCCAGGACATTTCAGGTAAACCTGTATACGTTTCAAGAACATGAGAACAAGGGTCCTGAGCCCAAGCAATTGCCCACCCACACAGATCAATTTGAAGTATGCTGCTGCTGTGTTCAATTAAGCAGTGGTACAGGGAAAGAGAACTAAGGAAAAAACACAACAATTGGTCATTATTAGACAAAAGCACAGACTGTTAAAAATGCACACAAACCCAGCTGGACTAGAAGTAGAGGCTGCAAACTAGTAGCCCATAACCAACTGCCTTGAGCCCATCTAATGCCAAAATAGGTATGCACAAACATGCTTAACCCAGTATTAATAATTTCAGACTATAAATGCTTTTAGCCAGGGCATGGCTTCCCTAAAGTAGAACATAAATTTTGTTTATTCTAACATTAACGAACATTTATAGAAATGAATTACACTAGGGAATATCTATTTTTATGCCCCAGAGGGGAATAAGTTCAAATTTGTCCAAAGTTCAAATTTTCCCTTTTAAAATTTGAAGAATCTTGAAATCATTTCAAATGTACAAAAGCCATTAACTATGAGTAATTAAAATTAGAAAACTTAGGTAGTCTTCAATACAACAGAATAGTGAAATAAATCAGGTTGGCTCCATTTCTAGACCTCCAATCAGAAATTTCTGATAGTTTGATGAAAATAGTCTAGACCAGGGTCCTCAAACTTTTTAAACAGGGCGCTAGTTCACTGTCCCTCAGACTGTTGGAGAGCTGGACTGTGGGCCCCCGGACCAGCTAGCTGCTAAGCAGGACAGGTAGCGTTGGCAAAAACACCCGGCGGGCCGTAGTTTGAGGACACCTGGTCTAGACTATTTCCCAGATTTCTAAGTTCAGAATCAGGAGTGGATATAAAAACTTCCCTGAGAGATTTTAGGGAAGGGAAAAAAAAACACCATGCATTTCTGTAATATTTAAAAAAACAACAACAACAATTTTTCAGGGATAATGAATGCAAGACAATTTTATTTGAAGGAGTAATAATTCTGATTTATAGGCAGCTTTTAATCCTCTGTTACCTTAACAAATAATGCAGTTCACTACTGGGTAGAACCTGCAAAGCCAGAGAGAAGAACCATATTAATTTTGTCAACCCTTACGGGAAAACAACTTGGAGAAATTTATAGCGTTCAGTCATTGATGATTCCCCAAATCATGTGGAGGTTGCAAAAAATAGGTTTGACCCACTTGAATAGAAATAATGCTGATCTGGATCCCTTCTAGGTTGTGCTGTACATCCTTCCCTACTCTCTCCACCCCCATTATCTCTCTGGCTTTAGAAAAGTAAAGCTGGCAGGGACAAATGGCTTCATGTTGTTACATAGGAGGAAAAGGACACAATGACTTTTGCAGCCGTGAAAGTGTGTAAGGGATTGTGACAGCACTGAAAAGGGAGACAGCAAAAAGAGCTGGATGAGCTAATGCCTACATATCCAGACACATACAGGCCGAAGCTTAGAGCCACATCGAGAGATCCTTACATGTTCTGAAAAGAACCTCTTTGAGAACGAGGCTACAATCTTCCGGGCTTCTAACCCAGCTTTTTGCCGAACTTTATACTCCTCCAACCAATTGACGTAGTCGGTGGGGCTGTAGTGTTTCATAAGGGAAGGCCACCTACAAGGAGAGAAACACCCCCTCAGCTTAACAGAGACTCAAAGGCAGCCTTGGAAAACAGGGATGGCAGTACGGTCTGCTGGCAAGAGGGGCCCTGGCGACGGACATAGTTCAAATCTCCACCCAGCACGCAGGCACTCACTCACAGTGTGACCTTGGCATGGTGACATGAAAGCTATGTTTCCATTCCCCATCAATAACATGGGGACAGTGCTGGCAACAACAATAATAATGATGACAATGACAGTTAACATTGATCGCGCGCCTCCCAGGAGCCGGGGCCCTGTGTGTGTGCTTCCCACGCACCATCTCATTTAATAACCACGGTAAAAGGTAACTAATTATCATCAGCACTCAAAATCGATGAACGAAGCTCCAAAATGGGAAGTCGCTACCCACAAGGTCACTGAGAGAGTGATGCAGGGCCAGATTTTTATCCCGGGGCCACACGGAAATCTGTGCTGTCCACAACCAACCAACCGGAGGATGCTGCGCCCGCTAGATCACTGCATAGTGATCCATGTAAACATTTTAGCACAGAGCCGGGCACAAAAGAAGCGCGCAAAATGGGTTCGCTGAGATGCTACCAGCGTCATCCTTCACGGAGGGCCTGTCCACTGGGCGCCCCGGGATGCGCCATTCGGGCACCCGAGGGTCCGCACGCGTGGCCCCGCAGGGCCGGGGACTCGGCGGCCTGGAGGCCTTTGTCTGTCGGTCCGTGGGAAGGGGTCCGGGGTGGGGTCCACGCACTGGGCGGCCGCGGGGTGCGCGGGGGCAGCGGCTCGGGCCGGGCAGGCCCCCGGGGGGCGCAGCGCCGGGGGCGCGGGGCCGCTGGCTCACCTCACCCGGAACTGCTCCTTCCACACCTTCCCGCTGCTCTGGCACAGCTCGCGGAGCCGCCGGCAGGTGCTGGAGACGCGGCCGATGTCGGCTGCCGTGAGCGAGCCGCTGCATAGGATGTACTCCAGCACCTCGCCCGGCAGGTTGACCAGGCAGCTGAGGCCCGCAGCCTCGGGCGCGGCCTCCTCTGCCAGAGCCGGCACCACCTCCATCGCGCTGTCGACCGCTGCCGCCGCCATCTTGTCCGCGTACCTGGGGCCGTCGCGCGCGCGCGCGAGCTAGGGCATCCCGCTTGGCCCCGCCCACCGCCTCAGGGGCGGGGCCAAGACTCTCCCTGCCCACCCTGGGGCCACACCCCCTTGGAACGGGGCCGTACGGACCTTAGAGCTTCCAAAGGGGAGAAAATAAACATGGGACACCAATAGCAGCGTCGCGTTCAAAAAATTAATCTTAAAAATCGACAAAAAAATAACCCTAGGAACTGTATCATTCTTTCCAAATTACATACAGGCAAACTGAAGCTCTGGGAGGTGAGAGGACTTGCTCACGCTCCCTTAGCTTGGATTCTAGTCTAGATCTGCTAGATTTCTGCTTGACCGTCTACTTAACCATATGTTGTAATACTGACAAACAATGCTCTTCAATGAGCACGGGGCCAAGCTCTTCATGTGTTTTCAACGACTCCTCATTGGAGCCCTCCGTGATAGTGTAGGGGAGGGAGGAAGGAAGAACAAACTCCAAATCTGTGTCATGCTTCTACGCCAATACAGGGAAGGCGGAGAGCTCTTCTGCGTTTTCTTCTTAGTTATCTTCAGCCCAACAATCTTTTATACTTTGGGGAGGCATATTCCGGTCTCCTACAGTAGGTATCACAATTTTCTACCTGTTCGGCAGATAAGGAAAACAAGGTGGCAGTCACTGGTTTAAAGTCAGAGACAAAAGTACTGGAGCCTGGATTTGAACATTCAAAGCAGGAGTTCCCACTCAGGCTTGAGTGGATATTCCCAAGGCCTGCACCCTTTTTTTTTTTTTTCTTTTCTTAATTCAGTTCAGTTCAGCCACCGGCTCTACAGAGGTGAGAAAAACAATGTTTTTGTTTCTCGAAAACTCAAAGTCCAGTTAGGGTCAGAACGATCTATTGTGTCAGTTATGGAGGCTGCAAGGAAGTACTACTGGCAGCATTTTTAAAATGTTAGATTAATATGAGGATACAATTAGGTTACAATGTTTGCATTTCTTAAGAAGAGGCCCTCTTGTAGTTGTGTCCTGCACCCAGAAGGTGTGCCATATACCCTTACATCATGCCCATTACCTGGGAGCATATCCATACCTGTCCCACTGTCCCACCTTCCCCCTCCTCCTACCTTGAATTGAATTGAGTTTTTCTCTTATATTAGCATGTATTAAATTGTCTACTTGTTTCATATAAGTATTGAGTACATTGGATACTTGCTTTTCCACTCTTGTGATATTTTACTAAGAAGGGTGTATTTCAACTCTATCCAGGTTAGTACAAAAGATGTAAAGTGTCCATCTTTTTTGGGCTGAGTAGTATTCCATGGTATACATAAACCACAGCATGTTAATCCATTCATGGGTGGATGGGCATTTAGGTTGTTACCACATCTTGGTGATTATAAAATGAGCCATGATAAACAAGCTACTACAAATGTCCTTATGATAAAATTATTTCTTTTTCTTCTAGGTGTATGCTTAGTAATGGGATTGCGGGAGGTCTATTTTGAGTTTTTTGAGGATTCCTCATTCTTTTTTCCAAAGAGGCTGTATTAGTTTGCAGTCCCATTGTGTAAAAGTGTTTTCTTTTCTGCACATCCACTCCAGCATCTGCAGCTTTCTCCTTACAACTTTGAAATCAGGATGCCATGGAGAGAGTTGACCTAGTAAAGTTATTCTCAATGGATGGTGTTGAGCCATCTATGGCTCCCTATTGCCCTCAGAAATAAATCTCAGATCCCTAACATTGTTGCAAAGGGACAAACTCACCTCTTCTTAGCTTTCTAAAGCCATTTTCTCTCACTAACCATCCACGCTCCCAGCAAGGCAGGTCTTCCCTGTTCCTCCCACTTCCAGCCTTCCTTTGTATGCTTTGTCTGGAATGCACTTTATACCAGTGCTCTCCCCTTCCAGTTGCTCCTCCTCTTCCTGCAGGACTTAGCTTAACTTTTCCAGATGTCTGCCCTTGCCTCATACCAGCACTAGATAGGGCTCCTGCTTAGCATTTTGCAACTTCTTACTTAATTTATAACTAATTATTCAACAGGCATCTTCCCCACTAGATCTGAAACACCTTCAGGGCGAGGGCTGTGTCTGAATCACCCCGGGATGCCTTGTTACTCTCACAGGCCCGGCACATGCAGCTCTTCAGTTATTATCCGTTTGATTGCAATTGTCTTAACCATCTGTTTGTCTAGAGCAAATGAGCTTTTCTGAAGCCGTTTCTCACCTATAAAATGGGGATAATAATAATGATGATGATGATAGCTGCCTCCTGGGGCTGTTGTGAGAATTAAAGGAAAAAATTCATATGAAATGTGTAGAAGAGTGCATGGCACAGAGAAAGTGTTCTACAAGTGTGTTATGGGGGATGGGGAGAAATTGCTCAATAAATATAGATGTTGTTTTGGAGTGATGGGAAATGTTTTGGAACTAGATAGATGTAGTAGCTGCACCACATTGAGAAAATACTAAATGCCTCTGAATTGTTCACTTTAAAATGGCTAATTTCATGTTCTGTGAATTTCACCTCCACGAGTTTTTTTTTTTTTTTTTAAGTGTATTGGTAATGCTTGTGTGGTCTCCTAGAGCTGCCATATCAAAGTTCTGCAGATAGGTAGCTTAAACAATAGAAATTTATTTGCTCACGGTTCTGCAGGCTAAAAGTCTAAGATTAAAGCATGGGCAAGTCTGGGTGTGTGGCTCATGCCTATAGTCCCAGCTATTCCAGAGGCTGAGGCAGAAGGATCACTGGAATCCAAGAGTTCAAAGCTGCAGAGAGCTATGATCATGTCACTGCACTCTGGCCTGGGTGACAGACCAGGACATGCCTCTTAGGAAAAAAAAAAAAAGAGGCATGGGAAGGGTTGATTTCTTCTAAGCCTCTCTCCTTGATCACTGTGTCTTCACGACATCTTCCTTCTGTATGTGTCTGTTTCCCATTCACTTCTTATAGGGACCCCAGTCACATTAGTTTAGGGCTCACCCTAGTGACCTTATTTGAACTTAATTTCCTCTTTAAAGGCCCCGTCTCCATGCTTAATCTCCAGTACCCTAGATTGTATCCTATAGTCACATTCTAGGGTATTGGGATTAAGATTCCAACATACAAATTCGGGGGACTCAATTCATCCCATGACGCCGCTGCTGCTGCTATCATTATAGTATTTAAAACAAAGGTTTAGATCAGTGGTTCTCAATCTTCCTAATGCTGTGCTGTATTTTCATTGTTACAGAGGGGTCCTGACCCACAGGTTGAGAACCGCTGGTTTAGATTAACCCCTGAAGTCAGCACGTCTGGGATAGAGTTTGACCTTAATGTCTCAATTTCGTGGAAGTTTCCTAGCCTTGTTCTTGCTGTCCCTGTCCCTCTCCTGGCTCCATCCTCTACTTTCTCAAAGTACTGGCTCCATTCTCCCCTGGTTCTCCTCCTATCCCTGCAGCTGTGCCTGCTTGGTCTCCATGGCAGCCACTGAGCCATGACATGTTGGGGTACTTTGTAGCTCAGCTAGCCCTGTCTTTCAGTCTCTCACCCTGTCTACAACTCAATTGACGATCCAAAACCTAATTAGTCTATTTTATTTTATTTTTTTGAGACAGAGTCTCACTTTGTCACCCTGGGTAGAGTGCCATGGTGTCATCATAGCTGACAGAAACCTCAAATTCTAGGGCTCGAGCGATCCCTTTGCCTCAGCCTCCTGAGTAGCGGGGACTACAGGCACCCACCATCACACCTGGCTGGTTTTTCCATTTTTAGTAGAGACAGAATCTCGCTAAGACCAGTCTTTTTTTTTTTTTTTTTTTTTTGAGACAGAGCCTCAAGCTATCCCTCTGGGTAGAGTGCCGTGGCTTCACAGCTCACAGCAACCTCCAACTCCTGGGCTCAAGCGAGTCTCCTGCCTCTGCTTCCCAGGTAGCTGGGACCACAGGTGCCCGCTACAACGCCCGGCTATTTTTTGGTTGCAGCTGTCATTGTTGTTTGGCGGGTCCGGGCTGGATTCGAACCTGCCACCTTAGGTGTATGTGGCTGGCACCTTAGCCACTTGAGCTACAGGCACCAAGCCAAGACCAGTCTTAAACTCCTAAGCTCAAGGGATCCTCCCACTGAGGCCTCCCAGAGTGTTAGGATGACAGGTGTGAGCCTTTAGCATCCAGCCTCCAAACCTAATTTTAAATTTAATGTCCATATTTCTCTCTTCAGCCCTGCCTGCTCCTCTGAGATCTTGTCTCTCCTAGACTGCACTCTGACAGTCCCTGGGGGCCCCATACTCAGCTTACCCTGGAGGGAACTCATGATCTCTACGTCCTGCTTTACCTGGTCCTTGCCTGCTGATTTTTGCCTTAGGAAAGGGCTACTCAGCCATCCGTTTCTGCAAAATAGGAACTTGTCACCCTCCTTGTCACTTCTCTCTCTGACCACCTATAACCAAATGCCTCGAGGTCACCCTCTCTGGCCTCAGTTTCCCTCTCTACAAAGTGAGGATAATCATACATCTTGCTACGAAATGAGACAATATGTAGATATCCGCTATTATTGCTGTATAACAAATAAACCCAGCTCCTCCCCAGTCAGACCTGAGCTAGAAGGCCGAGTGTGAGTTGGCCGTGGGTGGCTGACTCTGAGCGTAGGATGGGTGGGCTTGCTCGAGACCAGGATGGCAGTGGTGGAAGAGGAGTCCACTGCTCTGTTTTTTAAAAATTGTTATTTATTTTATTTTTTTTACTATTGGGGATTCATTGAGGGTACAAGAAACCAGGTTACACTGATTGCATTTGTTAGGCAAAGTCCCTCTTACAATCGTGTCTTGCCACCAAAAGGTGTGTCACACACCAGGACCCCACCCCTCCCTCCTTCCCTCTCTCTGCTCTTCCTTTTCCCCACTTCTACCTCCTTCTTTCTCGTCTACTCTCCCCTTCCCCACCCCCACCGTGTCATTAATTGTCCTCATATCAAAATTGAGTACATAGGATTCATGCTTCTCTATCCCTGTGATGCTTTACTAAGAATAATGTGTTCCACTTTCATCCAAGTTAATACAAAGGCTGTAAAGTCTCCATTTTTTTAATGGCTG